AAAATAATAATTTTCGTTGCGATCACTGAGTGTGGAGGCAGCCATTTTTGCCCAAATATATTAACACCTCAGTCCTGACATCTTCCTGCAGTGACGTCACGCTGCGGTGAGCCTAGCGCCACTACTAGACACATCTGCAATCAAAAACAATTATTCACCATTGAAATTAGTGAGAGCTATAGTTAAGCTGACAATGGCAGTTGGATGTTGGAATACATCTGGTAAACGTGAACAATTTTCACCTTTCTCATTCATAATCCACCACTGGTTCATCTTTGGATTGCCAACTTGAAGAGGGAGGATTTGCTACCAAACCTCTGGCCAGAGAAAAAACGCTTCATTAATCCATTACTCTCTGCTTCGCGTAGTGCACTGGTTGTCGCCATTTTGGATAATAGCGGGTTGTGACCAACAGCAGCTACAGCACTGGGACTTGATCAACAGCCGATACCGCACCGTGACGTCACAAACCAGTAGATGGCAGTAGTGTTCTTTAACAAACATGGATGCCTCCAGTAAAGCACATTCACATGAAAATTACTCCTAATTAAAAACACATAATTTATTGAACAGTATGTAATAATTTCATTTTTAAAGTACTTTCAGAAGTTTGTATTCTGAATATGACCGGACTTGTCCTTTAAGTACCCATGGATGTGTGTAGAAAGTTACTGATTAAGAACAGTTTACACCAAATGGTCCTAGAGATAGCCTGTAGACACTAGGTTGTATTTTTTAACCTAATTATGTTGAACGTTATGTTGAATGTTGAGGTCCCATGTAGGATCAAATATATTAAATATATAGGCCTAAATGGAAAAATTAACACATATTGTCATTTGTTTTAAGATGACCGGATCTTAAGTTCAAATTTTACCATAACTGAGCTTCACTTTGCAAAACAGAAAACAGAGGAACATGGACACAGGAACAGGAATCATTATTTATTAATTGAAGTATTTAATTTCATGAGTCCATGATTGTTGAGTCTCTTCTCAGCTGTGAGTCATGATTCAGGCAGCAAGACATCTCAGGCCAGCTTCACCTCCACTGGGAAATGGTCACTAACATCCAGTGCCTGAAGGAGACAAAGCAAACATTGGTCATTAGATAGGGGAGAGATGATTCAATAGAGCAGACATTGTAAAAATAACTGGAGCCATCCAAATGCATCAACATTTATTAAAATGTCATGTTGTTTGGGCTTTGACAAATGAGACCATGATAAAAAATTTAAAAAACGTTACCACGT